TTCGAAGGACTGTCCCCATCTTTACTACTCAAACCGGTTGTGGTACCAAGCCCTCCCTCACTTTCCTTTTGCTCCAACTTTTTTCTCATGTCAATCATAAATTCCATCAACATATTATAATCCTCCTCATTGTTTAATGCCATATCGACTACTGTCAGCATTATATTAGACAACTTATCAAAACGTTGTCCTTCAGTGTTGGTGCTCCACCTATTATAACTCACTTTAATTTTCGTATGACATCTGTTTATATTTTTCCTCCAACGCCATAAAATGTACTTTTCTGGAATGTGTGAAACCTTTTTATGAATCAGCACCATAATGTCATGTCTGCATAAAATCCCCCTGAACTCAAACAAATGACAAGTACAACGAATATCAAATGAACTTTTTTCAAAGTATACCACAAAGGGAACACGGTGACTACTATCTCCAAACCAAACATCTTCTAAAACTTGATACTTCTCATATGAATCACATTTTTTCAGAAAAGATAATTCATAATAAATCTTCCCCGCAATCTCTTTTTGAAACTCTTTAAACTTTGCAGTTGTGTATGCACTTTGAAATTGTTTCTCAATAAGGTAATTAGTTATGCATGGTATCCAAGATTTGAAAGATCTAAAATTAGCCTCCCTTTCTTTTTCCACTTTATCTCGCAATGCTTTATCATATTGTTCCACAAATTGTTTCAAAGTAGTTTTGGAATTTATATATCCATCAAAAAATGCATGCATACTTTCACTACGTTGGGTAGTATACATACCTGCCTAGAAAGTATCTTTAAGAAATGCAGGCACCCACCGTACTCTTTCTTTGTACAATCCACATAACCATTCATTCTCGTGAAGGTTGTGCACATCAACAAATTAGTTTCACCATTCTTCAAACTCTTCACGCGTAAAGGAATCATACACAATATTCTGCAACTTAAACTTTATAGTTTCATATTCCTTATTCCTTCTTAACTTTTCAAGCAGTTTCTTCATTATATGCCTCAAACACCACCTATGTCTTGTACCAGGGAAAATAATCTCAATTGCATTTTGCATGGCCTTATCTTGATCAGTGATAATTCCATTAGGAGCAACATCCATGCATTCAAGCCAAGAACGAAATAGCCATACAAATGTCTCAGTGTCCTCATGGGAAATTAACCCACAACTTAACAATGTTAAATGTCCATGATGATTAACCCCCACAAAAGCAGCACATGGCATATCATACTTGCTCGTCAGATACGCTCGTCATATCATACTTGCTCGTCACAACTTAACAATGTTGAATGTCCATGATGATTAACCCCCACAAAAGCAGCACATGGCACATCATACTTGCTCGTCAGATACACTATATCGAAGGTGACAACATCACCAAATTCTTTATATGCAGCCCTACACCTAGCATCAACCTATAGCACATTCTGTAATCGACTCTCTTCATCTACATCAATCATGTACCAGAAATTTGAATTCTTTTTTTGCATTTTCATAAAATGCTCGAGTACTACCGAAGCATCTCCAACTCCAAGTCGTAGCCTTCTCACTTTTTTAATGTAGTTCCTACAATCTTTTTGTAGAAACGTGAAATTCTTTACACCTTCTGCCTCAACTGAACATGACTAAAAATTTTTACACAGTCTAATCCCAGCCACATCATTAACTTCAAGCCTCCTTTTCACATAAGGTTGTATCGTTTGGTTAACCTTGAAATATCTTCTTTTTGTCAGACTTGTAAGATCATGGTTATATTTAAGTACAACTGATTTAATTTCCCATTTGCATTGACCATTCAAAGCTGCACTAATCTAACTCTTACAATCTGTTTTGGCAACAGGTTGCTTTTTCAAGGTATTTCTGGATTTCATCTCTCCTTCCCAGAACAAGAACATGTCACTATCACATATCTCATCTCTCCATCATCGTCTTTCTTTGATGTACTTATCATTGCTTCAAAACCCATTTTGTTACCATACTGTTTGTAATACTTCACCAGACTATCAACTGAATCAAACACCATTCCAATATGAGGTCCACTTCTTCCTCCGCACATCCCATATCTTCTAATCCATCACGTTCATTTTCCTAATAATTTAATAGTTTTACAGTGGACAAAATTAGAATGTACTAATACAACACATCATAAGAAACAATACGATACAATAAATTTAAAATCATGTTAATGAAAAAGTTAAGGTTTCGAGTACAATTTACCTCAACATCATTGAAATGAGGCAAACTGGACTCTTCCATATTCTGTAATTTCATGCAAAACCAATACTAATGTACGCGTTCACAAATCTGATTCACAACAATCACCAACAAATATTCTCTATCAGTTATTTTCTATTGTAACATATATTCAATCCAAAATAGAATGCAAAACTAAATAAATGCATAAGTTAAATAAAAAACTCCTTAACTACCTCAACAAATCTTTCTAATCTAAACAAATTTTGATCCTCCTATCACCCTTTCCACCCTAAACGATTATTTCATGAAAAATTGGTGGCTTTATCACAGTAGTTGGTTGTTGAGGAAGAAACCGGTTGTGGCTGTTGAGGAAGAAACTGGTACAACCACAGACGAGAAAAATGCAGACGCGAAGAACAGAAGGGAACAATGAAGCAAAAGGTAATAGGTATAAAATGAAGTTTTTTTCTTTTTTGTTTCGTGTAAAAATTTTGGTGCTTGTTTTGGAGAAGTCGTGTCACGACCGGGGGCTATCCTCTATCTTGCCACCTTTGGGCTCAAGGGCTTTCCCCGCACGTTAGACATGTCCAAGGTACTATCCGCTTTGGGTCCTTCTAGCTACGCCTCCTTCAGACTCTCACGACTTTGCTTCACTTCGTGGACCTATACCTTGGGCTATATAGCCCAACGGTACTCGTGTTACTTGGCCAAGGTATAAATCCAAGGTTCAAGTCATGGGGGAGGCGTTCGCAAGGTGGAAAAAAGACCACGAAGCAAAGCAAAGCCGTGAGGGTCCAAAGCAGGTGTGGCCAGAAGGACCCATAGCGGACAGTACCTGGACATGTCCGACACGCGGGGAAAGCCCTTGAGCCCGAAGGTGGTGAGATAGAGGATAGCCCCCGATCGTGACAAGTCATATTAAACAAGCTAATGTTTTTTACAAATAGAAAAAAAAAAAGTAAATTAAAAAAAAACATTTTATTAGCTTATGGACGATCGTCCATATTATATGGACGACCATCCATTTAATATGGACTCCCGTCCATATTAAATTACAGGCGTCCATTATTATATTACAAAATGTTTGCAAACCAAAAAACTCAATTGAACAGGCTTCTTCTCCTCTGATTTTCTTGGTTGGACCAACCTAACCCGCTTAGAAGGTTTCATCCGGGTAGCACATCCCTCTTTTTTCGGCTGTTTGGATTACTAAAAAACCATATTGAAAGCATGGATGGCATTAAAGAGCTGGATGAGGAAGAAGTATTCGAAGAGAAGATATACTTTTTTTTCCTAATAGGGACTCCCGTCCATAACATATGGACGGGCGTCCGAAAAAATTGTTTTAAAATTTTTGTTTTAATTGAAAGTATTGAAGGACGTCCATTATATGTGGACGCCCATCCATTATTCAAAGACGACCATCCATAACATATGGACGAGCGTCCATAAATTATGTTTTATTATTTGTATTTTTTATTTAAATTATGGACAAACATCCATTATATGTGGATGCCCGTCCATTATTCAGGGACGGCCGTCCATAACATATGAACGGGCGTCCCTGAATTTTGTTTATAATTTTTTTAAATTTAAAGTATGGACGGGCGTCTATTATATGTGGACGCCCGTCTATTATATGTGGACGCCCGTCCATTATTTAGGGACGGTCGTCCATAACATATGAATGGGCGTCCATTAATTTTGTTTAGAAATTTTTTTAAATTTGAAGTTTGGACGGGCGTCTATTAAATGTGGACGCCTGTCCATTGAATATGGACGGGAGTCCATGATTTTTGTTTTCAAATTTTTTAAATTTAAACTATGGACGGGCGTCCATTATAGGTGGACACCTGTCCATAGTAAATGGACTCCCGTCCATATAATATGGATGGGAGTCCATCGTTCATTTCGCATGGACGGGGTGGACTCCCGTCCAATAACAGTGAACGGTTGTCCATAGTTGATGAATGACTGTTCACTCACAAAATATTTGTTAATGTGATACGTCGCTGGTCTAAGTCACGTGACACATTATTCGGTGTAAGAATTCGATGCACAGTCCTAGTGTTCGTAGCATTATTGGTGCTTAATATCATCCTTATAATGAAAAATGGGGAGAATTTCAAGAGGATTTATGTATTAAGTTTAGATTGAATTGTATGATTGATATATTGGTGGACTATGACTTGAGAAATTTCCATATTTAAGTGATATGTTGATATACTTGATAATGATGATATATGCAATGAGTTTACTTTAAATATAGATTAATTTTTTTTGGTATACTGGTGGGATTATCATCTCCTTATCTTTTTGCTCTCTTTTTGCACTATACGGGTCCGGTTCTGGTTTTGGTTCCACCACTTCAAGAACCAAACCCAGACCTGGGAACCGGAACCAAAACCGAGGTCTGGGTACCCGACTACCTGGGGTGGAACCGACGTGTATCTGGGGTGTATTTGTAAAATCTGTAAATAGTTAGGGGAGTATTTGTAAGTTTCATAGGGTATATTTGCCATTTTTGCGAACAAGAGGGGTGCATAAAAATTTATCATAGGTTCCGGTTCTAGGCATTTAGGAACCGAAATTGATTAGGTTTGGTTTGGTTTCCTAAATCCTAGTAACCATCCGGTCTGAGTTTGAGTCCAGGTCTAGTTCCAAGGAATTGGGTCGGGTACCTGGACCCGCTCACCCATAGACAGCAGAGGTCTAAGTGGCTATTTTGGAAGTTGGTGGGGGCTGCTAGTTTTAAATGTTTTAGGGGTCTAAGGGTAATAGGGTATTAACCCGGAAAGAAACCTTAAAAGGCCTGTGGAATTGGACCTTTTGATTTGAAATCCGTCTTCAAAGAAGAATCAGCAAATCGGAGACTAGTAGTGGCGGCTTTCTTTATTCACTGCATTCTCTTCTTCATCTTCGTTTCATCTCATCTCGTCTGCAACCGGTAAGAGTTCTTTTAATTTCTCCATTAGGGCAAAGATTTTAGGGTTCCTTGCCAGCTTTTGGATTTATTTATTGGAAGAGCTTTCGATCTGCAATTTATATATTTATCTCATTAAATTGCAATGATTTTCTAATGATTTGCCTTTTAGTTGTATTCACATATACTTTATATGTATTTTTTTTTTTTGGATGTAGAGCCTGTAGCTAGTTCTGTTAGTGTGAATATCAATTGATGAGATTGGGTCTCAATGACAAGTTTGTCAGCGAAAGCAGCCTTTACAAATGGGTCTGTCTATGTCTGTAATTTGCCTCAGGGGACTGATGAAAACATGTTGGCTGAATATTTTGGCACTATTGGGTTGCTAAAGGTAAGATTTTTTACCTTGTGTTCTAGGAATTTATACTTTATGCCTAGGGGAAAAATTGTTAGTTTTATGTATACCTTACGTGTATGTTGCATGCTGTATAGAAAGACAAGCGTACGGGTCGACCAAAGATATGGTTATACCGAGATAAAGCAACAAATGAACCAAAAGGAGATGCTACAGTTACATATGAGGATCCACATGCTGCATTGGCTGCTGTTGAATGGTTCAACAATAAGGATTTTCATGGCAATATAATTGGAGTTTTCATTGCTGAGTCTAAGGGCAAAGATGAAAATGCCTATAACTCGGTTGCAGATCCAACTGTTGGTGAGGATTATGGTGGATTAGAGGAAAATTCTAGGGATATGGATGCGATTGCTGGACGAGGTAGAGGTCGGGCTGATGCTTCAGGGAAAGCATGGCAACAGGAGGGAGACTGGATGTGTCCGAATACAAGGTCTGTGATGTGATATTGGTGAGCAGCTCTTCTTGATCTTTCATAGTCCTGTTTTAGTGTTCAGTTTATACTATGATTATTTTTTAGCAAATAGCTCCTTCAAATGCTCTATTGTGGTAGCAGCTGTTCCAACATAAATTTTGCATTTCGTGGTGTGTGCAATCGTTGTGGAACTGCTCGACCTGCTGGGGTATCTGGTGGTGGCACAAGGACTGGTGGTCGTGGGAGAGGTCGTGGTGGCGTTGAGTCAGGGAGCCATGGCCGGCAAATTGGTGCTTCTACAGGACTTTTTGGTCCAAATGATTGGCCTTGCCCTATGTAAGTCGTTTTTGCTAAATTCTATATTGTCTTGACTGTCATTTTGTAATCACCTGATTCTGTTTTAACACAGCTTTTTCTTGGCTAATTGGAATATCTTCAGGATCAGTTTTAGTTTTATTATGATTTTCATAATGTTTTTTACTCAACTTTTATTACTTGTCTCATAATTTAATCAAATCCTTGTTCGGTGAAAAAGAGCTGATAAATTGATCTGTTAGTTTCATCTTTGGGAGCGATAAGGCTTTGTAGTTAGGTTTAGTGAGTACCACTGCAGCATGAATACATTTGGCCAGCAAGGTTATATCAAAAGCTATTACCTAAAAACAATTTGACTAAAGTGTATATAGGTTTAGCCCTAGTGGTGGTATCCAATTTTATCACTATAGTTAATAGGGTGCTTGCTGTACCTACCTTAAGATTGTAAGGCTCAGAGTGGGTTATGTGCAGCAAAGTGGGTGCATGGACCTATGATAAAGTTAGGGGCATGATAGGGAAGGAAGTAAGTATTCTTGAATTCAGGCTGATACTATAATTCCTAACTATGATATTGTTTATTACAAATATATAAGTGTTAAGGTGATTAATTACCATATCATCTATATATTAATTTGCATATGCACTGTTTGTGCTATATTGATTTAGGAGACATACATCCTTCTGCAATTTTATCTTACCTTGTTCTTTTTTCATCTTTCTTTCAGGTGTGGCAATATCAACTGGGCAAAGCGAACAAAATGCAATATTTGTAACACCAATAAACCTGGTCATAACGAGGGTGGTGTGAGGTATAATATGATAATTTCTTCTTTGTTATATATATATATTTTCCATTGTAAATTTGATTATTGCTGCCAATATAAATATTCACTATAACATATTGTTTGCAAGTAAATGTAATTTTCCGTATTTCTTGTTTATTCTTTCGTATGCATGCATGATTTCCGGCCTCCCACTTTTTGAGGGAGAGGCATTGTTTGCCTTTAAGTAAATGTACTTTATGTGGATTAGCGTATAGCTAGCAACAAACACAATTACATGTGGCTTTTTTGTTCTTTTTTATCTTAATTTTTCTTTTTCTTTTTTCTGTAAATATTTGGCTGTTCTTATGTGTCATTGTTTATCCTAAAAAATGATGAGCCAGAAGTATAATTTTATATTTCATGGTTATCATTGCTAGCTTGTGAAAACTCGTTAAACCAACAAAATTGTAATGTCAAGACCATCAAATTAGAAGAAATGTAACATCACATGAAGTAAAAAGTAAACCAAATATACTTAATCATTAGACTTCATTACAACTTTTCTTTCTCCAGTAGGAAGCAAAAGGTTTTATTTACATCAAAAGATTTACATATCATGATTACATGCATAAAAATTCAACTGATATTAGTTTAGTATAAATTAAGTTCCCAATTCTAATACACTTCTAATTTTATTATTATTATTTTTTTGTCATTAAATTTTATCAATCGCAATTCTGGAGAAACTAGGGCAAGGTAGGGAACACCAATCCTTTCTTAATCCAGTAATAATTCAGGGACAGGCCTATAGCCCTGTTCCACAAATTGGTATTAACCCTTGCCCCTAATGGGATGGGTGCTTACAAGGGCCCCATTAATCGTGGGGATTGGCCAGCTCTAGTATGAAAATGTTTTGGAAGTTTAGGGATTGATTCATCTTAACTATTTACAATTTCTACTTGGTGTATGGTTTGTCTGTTAGTTTACTTGAAGGGTTATTTGAAGAGTCGTGTGCCTCCTCAGGCAGCTTTCTTTCTCAGATGGCAGCTTTAGGTAAGATTTGTGCAGTGATCGTTTGGTTAAGAGTAAGAGTGACGTAGGACAACCTAGAGAAATTAGGGATTAAATGTATTTTCTATAGGATACACGTTTATTTGTTTCCTAGTTTAAATAAACGACATAGGATGATCTTCCTGGAGATTTCCATAGCCTTTCAGATGGTAGCTTGATTCTTTTGGATATTTCATTTTAGTGTTTTTATATTTGATTTTAATTCCTTGAATTTGTTTACCATGTAAAACTAGGTTTACCCTATCTATTGTGGCATATTTCATTGTTAAGGGACAATTTCTGAATTGATAATAAAGATGCTTTCTCCTCCTATTTCTGTGTTTCTCCATTGATTCTTCTAATTTTCTCCCCGTTCTTGCTATCTCTCCCTCAACTCTATTATTTCTTGATCTCCATCACTTGGTTTAGTGTCTGTAAATTTAGTGGTGAGACAGTGGATCATCTGTTACTATTGCTAGTGGCTGAAGAACTCGTCTTTGCTGTTCCCCTTTTCCTGAGTTTGTTGGACTCATTTTTTGGTTCATGCTTATTAGTTGGAAAAGCACTCATGCAGAAAACAAAACCGGTTGACTATGGATGCAGTTTGATCAATGTTCAATTTGGATTATCCTGGCTTCAGAGAAATGGATAAAATTGAAGGAGATGCTGTTAAACCATTTTTAACCTAATGTCTGACTCATTCTATACTGACGAGAAGAAGATGAAGTTTTAGTCCTTAAGATTAAGCTTTCTTCTGATTTTTCTTCTTCCGAACTCTCCTTTTGGCTTTTTTTGGTGTCTTTTCAGTTTTAGGGAGTTAGATTTGGTTGCTGTTTGTTCATTCTTTTTTGTATTTTTTTACGTGTGGTACTTGCCTTTTTACAGCCTCTGTTAATCGTTGGGGCCACTCATTGCTATTTAAATTTCTTAATCTGAAAACAAAACGAAGAAAATATGGATTTGCATTACGAAATCTTTTCTGAGATCTTTATGCCATTTGAAATGATTAAGTATTAGTTTGGTCTATGGATGACCAATAGGGAGGAATTAGTTTGGTCTATGGATGACCAATAGGGAGGAATGATTAAGTGTAGTGACCTACATTTACCACTAGGAAGTTATACTATTTTTGTTTGACTTCATTGTTCTTAAGGGCTTGTTTATCTGGATGTTGCATTGTTATCTGTAGACTGGACGTGTAACTTTGGATTTTTTATTTTAATTTGTAAGCAACTTTATCTTTTTCTATTGAACTAGTAGTACAACCTATTTTCTTTCTTTTAAATATAGTGATTGTTGCCCGCAGTTATTGCACACCAAGAAACCAACATAAACAACAATATAGGAAAATGCCTTACATGCCAATTCCATATACTTGCATTATTGTAATTATCTTTACTTTTGAATGCACCACTTGCACATAGGGAAAAGTGAATACAAATCTTGCACATTTAAAATCATTAATTCATGTTATATCTTTCATTGAATGCAGAAAACTTCAGTCTTCCTTCTAAGAGTCTTTTTATCTTTATTTTATATAATCTAGATACACAGCTATTGCATATGCATCCCTATTATGTGTATTACAAAATTTATTAGGCACATAATTTAATTCGTAACAATAATCTAATTTTTCTTTCTTTGCATATATGATTTGATTTTTTATCCTAATACCTTTGAATATTATCTTCATGAGAACTAATTAATACATCATTTTCACAATCATTCCTGATACTATTAATTAATTCATTGCATAGCTATTATATTGCTGAAATACAAGTGTATTTATTGCTGGACAGAGGAGGTCGCGGTGGTGGTTACAAAGAACTTGATGAAGAAGAATTGGAGGAAACCAAGCGACGTCGGCGGGAGGCTGAAGTAATATTTACTTGCACTAGCATCACTTGAGGTTGCATAACATATGCTGAATTAACATTCTCTATGATCTAATGTCAGGATGATGGTGAGTTGTATGATGAGTTTGGCAATCTGAAGAAAAAGTTCCGTGCCAAAACACAACAAGCTGAAGCTGGACGGGTGCTTCCAGGTGCTGGACGTGCTGGATGGGATGTTGAGGAACTAGGTATTTCGTGTGTTGTTCTATTAAATTTTTCTCATGTATCTATTTTTCTGTTTTGGACATCATAACTACAAGAAAGTTTAATTTGAGAGCCAGAAATGAAGTAGATTTGACTTCTCTAATCATGAGCACTGGCTCACCACTTAGTCTCTCAAAATATGCCTCTGTAAAACTGGGGTCATTCAATCTGTTCTTACTGTGACTTATTTTGGGTTTTTTATATTAAAGATTTCTCCTACTAGATTTTTCATTTTGTCTTTATTTTGTGTTTGCAATCCTATTATTATGGGGGATCAAGGTAATTTTGGTAAATTTACCTTTTTACTGGAATATGCTAAATTTAGTCTGTTGGGTCTTATCTTAGATCTATTATTGAGTTATCAAATCCTAGTAAGTTTTTTAGTTGATTTAGAATCAAAGTTTTGGTGAAGGTTTTAAATCCGTTGATTTTTGAAATCTGTGTTGCTATTAGGAAATCGCTCGGATATTTTATGTGCATTGTCGTGTTTTTAGAGTTACTCAAATTTGTTTTTGTTCTTATAAGATTTGAGTTTGATCTTGAGGGTTCTATTCAATTGTGTGATTGCTCTTTTTGTTCCTATTTTGTGTTCCTCTTTTCACCTCTTATATACTTAAAAACCAAATCAGGCCCTCATACTGCAGAATGACGGCAGAGCTTTTATCCATTCTATCTTAAAAGCTCTGATTCCCTCATAACAGCCTTAATTTGTATCTACCAGTTGACTGCTGAAAGATTTTGTCTTGCTACTACTGAAGAGAAACTGCCAACCTACTTTAACATGAGAACAACTAAACAGCCACTTGTATCGACACTTTATTGCACAATTTTTATATTAAAAATATTCTGAACCATTTTCCGTCACTTGACATAAGGAACAAACACATGAAACTTTCCCTAGTCACTGACCCCTTGACGATCGCTGAGCAGGTAAATGGGTGTGTACAGATTTTAAACCTATAGCTGTAACGTGGCAAAGTGAGAATGTGGAGTGGTCATAGACAGAATATATAGGTATTTTTGCAGTTTGATGGGTGGAATCAAGTAGATCTTGTTAATGTTGGGGCAAAACATTGGTTTCTATTCAATATTATTTATGTTAAAAGAGTAATTAGCAAAGACATTTATTAGCATCCTAATGATAATAATTATAATACCTTTTAAATTGGATAGGTTTTTCAAGTGATTGCTTCATTAACAAAAATAATTAATATGCAGGCGTGGTTGATAGAGATGGGAGAGAGAGAAGCAGAGATAGGGGAAGGGAAAGGGAAAGGGAAAGGGATGATAGGCAAAGCAGCAAGAGTAGGGATCGTGATGATTGGGAGAGGCGTCGAAGCAGAGAGAGGGATCGAGGTAGAGATAAAGAGCGGCATTATGATCATGATCGAGACAGAGAATATGGACGAGACAGGGACCGAATCAGGTATCGTCATTGAGGTTGGAAGGAATACCTGGGGGTTCTGTAGTGTTGTCTTATTGGATAGGAGTGGCAAAATTTTATATGTTGGAAAGATAGCATAAGAACATTAGATTTGAGATGAGTTGGCATCTTAAGCAAGTTGAATTCTGGGATTATATTCAGTTGTTCTTAATGGTATATTTCTTAATATTGCGATCTGCACTGTATTTTAAATTTTCTTGGAACCTTGTACTGCTTGGATGAATTGGGGAGGTCAGAACATGGATTGGAACAATTTTAAAATTTCTTGGGATTGTCTTTGTCTGTCATCTCTCTTTAAATTTTACTATTCAAGAGTGGTTTTTGGTATGTAACCCCCGTACCTTTAAACATACAACAATACAAACTAGATGCTTATCTCTCATTGCTGGAGTTGTTTTGATAGCATCAGCGAAGTCTGATATTATTATGTTGTCAGGCTTTGTGGTATGTGAAATGTGAATGGTAATAAAAAGGCATAAAACTTCCAAAAGCAATCAGTTCCATCCAAAGGCTGACTTCCCTTTTTGAAATAGAAAAGAAAGTCTTTTTGGTTTTGTTCTTCATAAACTCCAATTACTTTGAGATTGTAAGTCAAACTTCCGTTTAATTGTATTTCTTATTCTTTGAGCATCTGATACTTTTTTCTCATTAATAAATAATAATACGCCGCCTGATTCCTTACTATTTAAAAAGTGATATGGTCTGATACTTTGAGTTGCAACGGTAATGCCATTCTGCATATCAATATAATATACCCTGATTTGGTGAAATTATTCTAATCTCTTCTAACAGCCTTGCTTCCATTGCATTATGTCACAACTTACTCAGGCGCTATTACTATTAGGTGTGGGATCGACATTGTCATTGGTCGGCCAACATCGGTCTGACTCACTTTTACAAGTGTTGGGAGGTATTTGTAATGACTAAATTATGGGTAGTTGCATGTAAATTTCCGAAATGATAAAGACATGTTATGGCATTGTCTATTGGGCGGCATTACATATTTGAGATATAATGTCAAAATTCAACCTTGAAGTTGAAGTTGAAGACTCTTCTGGGCGGCACCAACACCATGTTGTATGATTTTGGGGCCCGCCCTCTTCCTTTACATGTTCTACTTTGAAGCACATGCTACATCCCTTCTTCTTTATCTTTCATTTTCACTATAACTGGTTCTATATTCACATCTTAAATGTTGCTAATTATTTACACAGTACAGGAATCTTGATTATTTTTATAATCAGTTGCTGACTGAGAAAAAGAAAAACTTATTGAGGGGTTGAGTCATGTGCCTTTCCTCAATGGGTATTTAATGATTATGCATGGTTGATGCAATGATGCTTCTAAAATCAAACCCTGGTGATCCATGTGTTTCAATTTTGGGTTTGGATTATATTTACTTGCAGGAGAAGTGAAAAGCAAAATTACGTTTGGGTTTGGATTTGGATTTGCAATTAAAAAGATGAAAATATATTCAAAGTGTTTGTGCAGCAGACTTAGTCTCTCATAGAGTGAAATCCTCTGCTTTCGACAACTGTCATGATTTGGTAATTTCCCCTTGTTCTCTTCTCCTTGTGCTCTTTGTCCACTGTCCCTATAAATATGGTTACCATCACCACTTCATTACCCTCCAATTATCATAACACGAATGATGATTCACTCTAATTCAAACCCACCTCTCCTCAACCATCTTGGACAACTTCTGAGCCTAAGCCACCACCCACTTGAAACAACAATATGTAATGGTGATGGAGGAGTAGTCATCAATCAAGAATGCCAACTTCCATTGATAGACCTCAGTGGCCTAAACAGCCCAGATGAAAAGGACAAGCTAGCTTGCACTGCAGCCATTTCTCGAGCGTCGTCCCAATGGGGATTCTTTCAAGTCATAAACCATGGCATAAGCCCTGAATTGCTTAAGAAGATGAGGAAAGAACAGAAGTTGTTGTTTGAAACATCTTTTGAAAACAAAGCAACTTGTGGTCTTCTCAATAATTCTTACAGGTGGGGGAATCCAACAGCTACTACTCCAAAACAATTCTCATGGTCTGAAGCTTTTCACATTCCTCTCACTAGAATTTCTGATGAATCATGCTATGGAGACTTCACATCTCTAAGGTAACTATTCATTTTATCAAACATAAAGTTTCTAAGGCATTCATTCCACTCATTAAACATAGTTGGGTTGTGAATAGGATAGTGATGACAGAATTTGCAGCGGCAATGTCAAAGTTGGCGAGGTTACTTGCAAGAATTCTAGCAGAAAATTTAAGCCAGAAAAGGGGAGAAATAGATGAGATTTGTGATGAAAGGAGTTGCTTTCTAAGGTTGAATCATTACCCAGCTTGTCCAGTATCTCCAGAGATATTTGGATTAGTGCCTCATACAGACAGTGATTTTCTTACAATTCTTTACCAAGATGAAGTTGGTGGACTTCAACTCATGAAGGATTCCAAATGGGTGGCTGTAAATCCTATTCAAGATGCTCTTATTGTCAACATTGGTGATCTTTTCCAGGTAAAATATAAGGACAAACTTAATCTTTGTCCATAACGCCACAAGTCATTTTTTTGTAAATAATATAAAAAAGAGCTTATGATTGCAGGCATGGAGCAATGATGTCTATAAGAGCGTGGAGCACAAGGTGATGGCAAATGGGAAGATGGAGAGATACTCAATTGCTTACTTCTTATGCCCTTCTTATGAGACTTTAATTGGAAGTTGCAGACAGCCTTCTGTGTATAGAAATTTTACTTTTGGAGAATTCAGGAAACAAGTTCAAGAAGACGTTAAGAAAATTGGGCACAAAGTAGGCCTTCCAAGATTTTTGCAAACAGAATGAAGAAGAACAATACATGTTTTGAACAAAATCCAAGATCAAGACTATGCCGATTGGCATCATCCATCAAACTGTAAACACCATTTGTAATTTACACACCTAAACAGCTCAGAAAATACTATTATTATTTTTGTATTTATGCCATTTGTTTTTTTGTTGAGTTAGTATATGAATCAATATTTAAGAGAGAAATGCAATAGATTCTGCTCTTTTTTTTATTATTATTTTTGTCTAAATTGTTTACAAAACAGAATATTGGGTGAAAAAACTAAGTTACCCATCTAAGACACATTGACCTCCAGATGAAACCATTTTCCAACTCCTAGTAGGGAAAAATATAATAGGCAGCTTTTCAGATAATACCACTATATTTGCGGTAGGTAAACCTTCATTATGTGAAAAATTGCCTCGACAAACAAGAGACAAATATACACCAGAATCAGAGGGAAGGTTGGGAGTTGAATTCCAAACAGTTGAGTAAAAAAAAAAGTAGACCCCAATTAAATGACCAAACATTGTCATAAAACTTTTTACTAAAGATAGCTGAAATAATCAGACTAACAACAGTTGAGAGTATCCAATCACACTCTTTCACAGCTGCAATATCAGCAGCACGGTTCGGGGAACCTGGTGTTGCAGCTGATAAGATGTTGGAGCTCAGCTGCAGATTTATTATAAATGAGGTGAAAAAATTAACAGAGCTTAGAGGAAAAGTCTTTTTTGCAGAAAGATAGTATCAATAACAAGGTATATCTGATGCGGTTTATTTACAGACAATGGAAAAAAAACCAAGAGTCTGAAAACATTCAGAGTTGGATTTTAATAGTGTTGTCTAGCATATACACAGGGAGAGTAACAGAGAATGAAGATTTTTATTCCTTCTCAAACTTAGAAATTAGATACCAGTTTGAGATTATGATTCTTACTAATATGGTGTCATCTTTTAAAGATGGTACTCTTCAACACTCAAGTTTTCACATTTTAGAATGTAAAGGCAGATTTCTCTCTGAAATCATGCACCCTGCTGTTTCCATCAGATCTCTGCTGTACGGTACCATCTTTAAGGTGCTCATTGTACCCAAGTCATTCACCAGGTTAGGCAGTTTAGATCCTCACAAAGTGAAATCAAGGTACCAAACTTAATTATGTTTTAATCAAATTCAATCATGTAATGGGTTTAATCAAAATGCCTATTGCCAAGAGAGGCAATTACCGGGTTTACCCAAAAAAAAAAACCTATTGTTGAATGGGCCCTAAATTCTTAGTCCAACTAACTGCATCTACAAACAAACAGGTAAAGAAGCAATTTAAACTATTAATTATCCCACTTTCTATATAATGCTAGAATGCCACACAGCTTTGCAATAAATGAAATCCCAGTAATTTAGCAGGAACCTTATTTGGTACTGTTGAAATGGTAAAATGGCTGTAAGCCTGTAAAATAGCTCCCTTGTGAACACACAGACACCTGACTTCCAAGCAATCCTTTCGAGGTTTTGACTTCTTTTCTTATTTCCAAATTTTCACAGCACAACAATCAATTCATTGCATCAGATTTAAAGTAATTCACATTGTGCCATGTATACAAACATTACTAAATGCAATTCAAATTACAGCCTACAAAATGCGTTTAATCACATATTATGGCTCTATTTCTACGACACGGCTGCACATATCATTACCTGAAAACCTGCTTTTTCAGCCAATGTACAGAATTATTAAAATCTAGCATGAATAACCATTAGAGGAGATGGCAGATAATTTAGAATTACATCACTACCCAATAAAAGAGAGAAAACACTGAACTAATTAATTGAGGACAAGAAGGCTGATGTTTTTAGGAGGCTACATTTCCTTGTCTTCAGTGTCACCAACGAACAAACAAGAAATGCATATTTCAAAATTATTTGATATGGTCAAATGTTATACAGGTACACATCTGTTGAAGGTTTGAAGACAAATCCACAACTAAATTTCAGAGAAGCCACCAATGTGAAAGACACAATAGTTAAAGAATGTATGGCCTCTAACCGGTTATTTAATAAGACAGGCATGTAATTTTTTGAATCAGATGCCAGCTCTCAAACATGATAAATTCCCAAATTATAGGCACTGGAGCTGAGCAATAAAATTCAAGTTTGCTAATTCTAATATCGATCATTTATCCTTACCCATTTTTTAAGTTTGTGTTTTGCATGCCTAGCAAAAAAGAAAAAGGTGTAGGCATGCCCAAAATGTGAATCAAAAAGTTAATAATGGCTCTGATAGGATATCCCTCAATTGGAAAAAGGGACATAAAATATTACTTCCATAAATTCTAGACATGTTCTACATGTCATAACCATATGAATATATTGGACTTCAATTTCTGAGATTCATCCCTCACATTTAGGGATGCCAAAGAGAACAAAAGCGTGAAAGTAAACAAAATTAACTTTTGGCCAGTCAGATAAAAAGACAAATAAACAACAATCCAACTTGTGATAGATCATAGATCAGTAAAACAGAACCCCAATGAATGATTTCTTTACAAGTAATCAGTATTCCATGTTGCCTCATCAAAATATGCTATTACTCCATAAAAATGCAATTGATTGAAATGGCTATATACATAGCTATAATAATTGAATAATAAAATTGGAGAAATACAAAGATAACAAGTGGAGATAAGCATATACAGAAATATGATCAATGAAAAAAGAGATGGTCAAGCGAACATCAATCAATCAAGCTTAATTATCTTATGGTTCCTGCTTTATCATTGTAAAAAGGTCGAGCAAATACATTCGAAAACCTTCTTCAGTCAAGAAACATTGCTACCTTGTCTTTGAGACTGCTCTTCGATTTAATGTGGGATACCATCTCTTCTCCAACATCATTCTGACTCAGCTGTCTAAACCCTTCATCATTTGTAGTAAATTCAGTCTTCTTTTCTTTGTCTCCTCGGGGTTTCTTCAGCAAAGGACCCAAAAATAGTTCCAGCATATCCTGTGCAGGATCCACTGTTCTACTTTGTACACTAGTCAAATTACAATTGCTTATTCCATCCTCACAAGAGGTGGTTTTCAAACGTTGATCTTGGGATTCAAAATCTCTATCCACCGACTGTAATTCAGCTGTATCTAAATCAATTTGGACAAACTGCAGAAATTTGAGGTTTTGTTAATCAACCATAGAGCCCTGCATTTACTAAAAGCAATAGAAGAAACAAAAAAAATTACCTCTTTTGCGATGCTTAAAAGATCTTCAACACTGAATTCTCTTTCTCCATCATCGCGTGGTGTCGGCTTTTTGGACTTGCCCACTTTCCTTTTCTTGATGTTAGTAGTAAGTGGTTGGGTTGATATTTTTTTACGTTGTCTCTCGGTTTCACAAGAAATTTTGTTTTCCTGCACAGAATTGTTGCTTTTATCTCCATCATCAGGTTTCTTCATGCATGACCATGAGGGTAAACGCCTTCTACTTCCCTCATCTCCAGCCATTGTTACAAATTACCAAATATGCTAAAATAATAAGAGGGTTTTTGGGAACTTTAAGTACTAATTAATTCATCAACATCCAATATTTCCATAAAATCGCAATACATATTGTTACTGTAGATTTTTATTTTTTTATTCTGGGTTAATTTTATGGAAGCATTTTATCAGAAAATGTAAAATAACTCAAGTTTTAGGTTGCATTAAATTTATATAATTTAAAATTCAATAAAAAATAAAAGAGACACATTTAGTTGGTTAAAATCAAACACATTAAGATAAATTGAAAATGAGAAATATAATTAAAACAATGTTATGATATTTCTAATCTACAAACTATGTTGGTCATTAATGATTAATATAATATATTTTTTTTTCAATTTAAAATGATAGAAAACGGTTATATATTACAGTAAATTCTAAGAATCATTATTCGACAAACGATATTTTGTTGATATATAATAATTTATACACAATACCATAACATATTGCAATGATATAGTTTAAAAGTTAAATAATATGACATTAATCTTTCAAATTTTAAGAGAAAATTTGTTTAGAAAGTCGCCGGGGAACTAGACCCCCAATAGTATTAGTTTCACAATTTCATCCAGAACGTTAAAGGTCTCTATCAAAGGACGAAGGGTAAAGTTGTCTTTCAGATTTTTAATATTAAGAGCACTTTCTTTTTCTTTTTTCAATTTCTTTATCTAAACTTAATAAAATAAATTACAAGTCAAGTCAAAAGAAAAAAAAAATAAAAAACCCATCAAGCCATCGTTTCATTCCACAACCTTCGCCTCACTCCACTTCCAACATAATTGCAAACCCCCGCTGAGAACCTCAAAACCAGTGTTTTAAAACCCGAAAGCTTCAACGGGCCGGGTTTAACTTTTCCGATTCACTCTAAAACCCTAAGATTTGGGAGGATGATCGACGAACAATCGACGGCCAAAAGGTTGGGGCTTTTGAAAAATAAGTGTCGGTGAATGGAATGGTCGTGACGGCGTTGATTTCCGGTGAGTAAATCGACTGGAATCGAACAAATCTGGAAACGGCAACAATGGGATTTTGCCGGCGATTGGCGAGGCTAACGGGGGTGGGGTGAGGTGGGTTGTGGTCGGGAGGAAGAGGGGAGTGATTCCTAGGTGATAGGGAGGGTTTTCGACGCTAGCGTCGATGAGATCTGACCTAGAATACTGACGCCGACGTCGGTGAGATCTGGCCAAAATCAAACCTATTTCGGCCAGATCTTGAGTAGATTTTAATGGAAATGGGCTTAAGGGACGATTGGGGTTGCATCTGAGGTGTTGCCGCTGCCAATCAGTCGTCAATCGATATGCATTTAGAGTGTGTTTGATAAAGTTCAAACTTGTAGGGACTTACAGATAATTTTTAGGGGTGTATTTGCTTAATTTTAAAAGTTTTTATCAACCGGTCCACTCGAGACCCGGAAACTTTGCCGGGTTTCACCTTGGATTGGGTTTTAAAACATTGCTCAAAACAGAGATACCTCCATCAGTTTAAATGTCCCTTTGAGAGCCATTCTTATCGTCATTCTCATTTGATGAATTTTTGCGTTTTAGTTTTTAACTTATACACAATATTTAATTTGTTTTTTTTGGAAAAATAACATCATAATTGCAATTTACATAGCAACAGTTAAAAAGTCTATAAGATTAAATCCTTTTAATTAATTTTATATTGACAAATTTGGGAAACCACCGGTTGTTGAATTTGTTGATGATGAAGTGAACATACACAAGAGGGCTTTGCATACTAGAGCTACAATTCCTCTCATGCTATCAAAAATTACTTCACTTCAAAATTTCAGTCCATGGTCCAAGGCCTCATAAACTAGTTGAATCCGGCTCTATTGACGATCGTAATCCCCCACGTACCATCATTTGGGCATAAAATTCTGCATGCTCCTATCAACCAATAAAAAAGTAATTTAAGTTTATAATTTGTTTCACATTTAAGTTGACACTGCAAGGCTGTTATTGCAAATAAAATTGTTTCCAATTCAAATGAGAAAACGCCAACCAAAACATACTAATCCCATCCCATGCCTTGAATTTTTTGTCCACAACAAACTCATGGCCTCCTTGCTGAAAAGTATATACTTTTCCAAAATGGTGGAACAATGTGTTAACTAACAATAAAAATCAACCAAACTGAATAATCATACCTTGACGGCAACAATAACAACCGCTGAGCCACTTTCCCTCGATTCATGAAACAGTCTTCTAGCATCATCAGGTGTAATAGATCGAACCACTTGGGGCAAGACCTTTGCAACTACAAGAGAAGTAGAGAACAGACTTAGATATGTGAAGTTATTACACCAATTATATTATACCTGCCAACGAACTATGTAAAGCCAAGAACAAAATAAAGAGATTGTTCTGCAACAATTTATGTTCATTTAGACCTAGCAACAGCAAATGGTTTCATCATTTTTAACTCAAAAGATCTGTTCAACTTCAGATCAAGGAAACAGAAAATTTGCCACATGAACGACCAAACAAGGCTAAGCTCACCTCTGGCTTTAAAACTCACTTTGAGCATTAAGAAAAAAAAACATTGCCATCTATATATACAGGGGATATTTTCTTCTTTTGTTTGATATATACCTACCTAACTTATCAGAATGGCGAAAATCATCAATTAGCACAACTCTGTAACTATCTCCATTACCAATGCCTTTCTTGTCCTTTAGCTGCCCAATATCTCCTCCTGAATTGCAAAGGAGGAGGAAAGAGCAATAATCACATCAGTCAAAAATCATAATAAAGATTAACAAACCAAGTCTAATAACCCAATACTCAGAATTCATCTCTACCATATAATACATTATTTTGTTTCATTCAACCTTTGAATCCATAATAAGAAAATATATATACAGTTGACCTCAATAGACAACGAGGGAAGAATGCATTTCCTTTTTTAGTATCATGTCTTGATAAATCTATGTGAAAATATTGAGACAAAAGTTCTCTTGAAAAGACTAAATGAATGCATCTGTGGAGCAGGAGCCAGAAAGATCATCAATCAATGAACATGTGCAAAATGAGTATATATTCTATGCAATGTGGTTGGTAATATGTTAGAACTAGGAGATATCTGATTTGCAATCCGGATAGAATCGATTGATTTTGTAAGAAAGAGGATATTGAAAAAAAAAAAAAAAAAAAAAAAGTGTGCTTGTCCAGAAAAAGTCTTTAGAAGCACAGAAATACCACGTCATTTATACAATCAATCAATAACATCACACCACCAATCCATTTATTCTCTCTTTCCTCGATTTAATGCTACCATGACTGGAATTTTTTTAAAATAAATGCATAGATGATACTATTTTTATTGAAAACACGCACAGCCATGTCTATCCTATAGAAGACTTTCTCATTTACTTGGTCGATCCTCTCTTTTTTCTTATCCCGTTGAAGGATTCTTGTCTTATCTTATGAATAGTTTTCCCCAAAACATCGAGCTTACCTCATGTCAGTTCAATCTTCTCATGAACCTTAGGGTTTATAAGATCAGCTTTGAAAACAATCCTTAATCGGTTAAAACCTAACCTCCAGTGACATTTGATGAATTGTTGACAAAACCCATATGTTCCCAAAATATAAAACTTGAACTTTTGATAAATGAGAATCCATGGTGTCAACCAAAATCTGTCTAATTGCATCAGCGTTCCCACCAATGATTATGCTAATAGACAAGTTACTGCAACTGGACACATTAAACCTCTATAGTCTCTAAATTATTCGTAAGTAATAAATAAAAACACCTTATGGCATGTAATGAGATAGAGAAGCGAATTCAGATGAAAAAATACCTTCTAACACTTGTGTAAATGGGTCAAACTGAGACTGATCAAAAGCGGGTCGCTCTAAGACACCCTTGGAAGAACCAAACCTAGTCTTCAAAGCGCCACAGAAAACCCTCCTTTCTTGTGTGGACCTTTGAAAGGGATAGGAAGTCGAAGCAGAAGTAGGAGGAATAAGAGAGAGGTTTGTTAAGCCAAAAGATGCCACTGCCATATTCATCATCGTCACCAAACACGCTCAACTTGTGGTCTTGTTTGTATTTATAGATATTGTTTTTGCACTATTCTCAAAGGAAAAAAAGGAGTGGCATATCATTCCTGAATCTTCTCCATTCAAGATATTTTACACACTCGTTTTCTAATTCTAAGATTCAATAAACACCACAAAAACATATCTGTAATGTTATACCCCGAATTATTTATAATGTCACAAAAAATAGCACATTTCTATTTAACACAAATTTGATGAACGAAATTGTCTCTAACGACAAATCCCAACTGAAGACTTGATTTTGTGATCTTGAGAAGCATTTTTTTTAACGTATTTCTTAACACATTGGCTTATTAAACGGTTTTTGAATATTTGGCACATATGTCTAGGAAATATGTTAAATAACTTATTTTTTAAATGATTTGTTGTTGATTAAGCTTATATTTCAATGGATATGTTGAAAGCGTAATCTTAGTATGGGTTTCCACCAACTCCGGAGGATTCTGACCAAAAATTGTTGAAAGTTGGAGACGAGTTTTGGTCGAATCCCAAGTATTCGGCCATAAATCAACTTCATCTTCTCCAACAGACCTTGCGTTTTTTGGTGGAATCCAGTTGAAACCCCTTGATTCGGCCAAAATACCCAGATTTCAGTCATCATTTCACCGACAACAACCTAGTCTTTCCACTTAATTTTGACACAAAAAACAATATTTTCACTTGATTTCGACACAACCGTTCACAATGATGGAATGTTCGTTCCTCTAAATTCTGCAGCTTTGCAAGTTGCAACGACGACTCTATTTTTCAAAGGGGTCGGAGATATAAATTCGGCCATTTATTGCTCGAGACAAGAGAGATAAAAGTGACAAAACATCAATAACATTCCCACATAATACTTAGAGCTCAAAAATCCTCCGTGCATTAGGTAGTATAATAAGGATATTATAGTAAATTAAGTAAAAATAGGGGTTGAAAAGAGAGTTAATGGAGGGTATTTAGAGTATCTCTAATAGTGCTCTTTAAAGTAAAGAGCGTCTTCATTAATTTTTAAATATAAAGAACAAATTTTTTATCTAGACTCATTAAATTTTAGGAGAGATAATGTTTTTTCAATAAAAAAACATAATAGGAGAGATAAATAATAAATAAAATACATAGAAACTTGTAATTTATTATTTAAAATTAGGATAAAGAGTGAAATTTAACTATTTAAATGTGGAGAGTTAAACTCACTCTTTAATTTTTATTGGACTCTTGCTTCTATGAATAAACTTTTTATAATAGAGAGTTTGGGTCATATAAATAGTCATTTGAAGATGTTTTAATAGACTCTTTATTCTTTAAATATAAATTAATTAGTGAGTTTAACTCTTTACATCTCTATCCCAATTTTATTTAATAAATTATAAGTTCTTATGCATTTTATTATTAAGTCTCTTTCATATTTATTAAGTCTAATTTAAAAGTTCTATTGGATTAGAATGTGAAATATGTTCTTTAAAATAAAGAACACCATTGGAAATGGTCTTATCCGCTCTTGGGTTAGGATAAAAGGAAAGTTGTAATCCTATTAGACTTAGGAATCAGAAAATTAAATAATTAAGTTTTAGAATAACTAATGTAATTGGGGTTAAAAGAAATCTATAAATACCTAGTGATTTTCAAAGGATTATAACTGAGAAAGAATAGCCAAAACGTAAAAGAAGCTAGACCATGACCTTAGTAAAATTACGAAATCTTTGTATTCCGCGAAAATATTCTTAGAACTCATTTCGCTCCTTACGTTAACTAAGGGTTAGGTTATTATAACACAAACTCATATCCATTGACTCATTATAATCCAATGAATTTGGATGAAAAATTAGAGTTAGTTTAACTTATAATACCAACTAAACAATTTTTAAGCCATTTAATTATCATGAATCAATAGTCATAAATTAGTGTTAAATAGCTTGACCCATATAATTATATATATATATAATATATTATTATATATATATAATATATATATATATATATAATATATTAATATTTTAAATAAATAAAAAAATTTGTGTTATAATAGTTTGACCAATTATTTAAATATATAGTTTACGTTGATTTTATGATAGGCCAAAATCAAGAATTGATAGATGAGTCAAATTTTAGTCCATTCAATAAGCAAGATTCAAAGTTCTATATACAAATTATTGTACATAACCAATATACTTAGGTTCACTTTCAAAGACCCAAATATCTTTTTTTGGAACGCGGCTAGACCCAAACCATTTATAAGCAAGCCACCGATGGGTAAAAATTACTCCGTAAATCATATCAGAGTTAAAAAAAAAAAAAAAAATTCATTTAAATTAGGTATTCTAATTACTCATTTCGACACAAATAAGTAAGTGAAAGTATTTTTTTTTTTTAAATTAATTTAAAATGTGTTTCCCTCTTTGTTTAACTTTTCAAACTCTATCATATCCTATTAAGTGAAAAACATTTTTTTTTTTTTTAATATTGACTATTCAATTCAAAATCCAATTATATTTTATTCAACTCAAAACATTTAACAATTATCTTACTTAAAAAAAGTTTATAAATTAACAAAAACACCCCCACCCACCCAAGCAACAGTCGCCCGCCAGCAACCACCGCCGATTGCTAACCGCTGTCGCTGAAACCGCTGGAATGATGCACAATCGGAGGGATCTGGCTGATCGTGCGCTGATTTGACCGTTTTCAGCCAGATCTACCATAGATTTGGTTGGAAATGGCTAGTTCTATGGCCAAAGATCTGGCCATCGTTGACGACCAAATCCAGCCGATCGTGAGCCATTCCAGTGACTATCGGCCACCGTCCAGCTGTGGTGACTAGATGTCGGCAATCAGTTGGGTGGATGGGGGTATTTTTGTTAATTTATAAACTTTTATTGTTTGGGGGGAGGGTATATTTAGCTAAATTAACGAATGTAGAGGGTTAAAATAGTATAAATATTTTCACAAAATGTTTTCCAATAATGTATCAAACACATTCGCAGAATCCTATCATATCTTATTCAAAAAAGTGTACCAAATGCGGCCATCCCAAAAATATTCTTATTTATTACATCATATTTTGTGGCCAAATTCATGTTTTAAATTGTTTAAAACCGGTTTTTTGCGAAATTATTGTTTTTAACCTTTATACATATTTTATAGGGGTATTATTAAAATCTAGGAAATCAATATTATTTTTATCTTTTATTTTTAAAAATATTTTAATCATCAAAAAATTGTCGGTGTGGCCGCATGTAATTTATCTTTAGAAAATTAATTTTATTTTCATTTTTTCTAAGAAAAATCCTATATTTTAGGTACATAAAAATAAAATTATTTCCAATAGAAATTTTCATTATTTAAGGATTTATTGTGTTTTTATTTGATTAAAACTAGTTTGATCAAAAAATAATTTTGAGTTACAATTCCACTAAAATTGTCTCATTATATTTCATTTGTCTTAATAACTAATTTTATCATAATTAAGGATGTGTTCATTGATTGACTCCATTGTTAGGCGTCTGCCTTGATAGCAGAGAGCAGTTTATGTAATCAAATTGGTTTAATTCATATTCTGTTTCAAGTTTTATTTTATTTTATTTATATCAGTTTCTAAGGGTTACTTTTGAGTTGTTGTAGCTTCCTACATATTCACTTGTTCCATAAGCTACACCATTGATGTGTTTGATAAACATATTTCAAAATTGATTATAGGAGAAATTGATTGTCGCATAACAGAGCTTTCAAAAGTAGGATTTTTAGAATTCAAAAACGCCCCTTTTAGGGAAGTCCATTACAAATATACCAAAAATAAATTTAAATTCTAATTTTTTTTTTAAAATTAAATTAACAATATAATAATATTAGAAATGGAGAAGTTATAAAACTGATCGACGAGTCTGACCAAAAATGGTTCAATATTGCTAGTACCATTACAATCGTCAATTATTGAAAATAATTTATTACCAACGATGTCATCTAATATAGAGTTTGAGTTTGACCTATAATCTACTTTATTAAAATTTGATTTTCCGAAAGAATTACGATATTAAACTAAGGTTAAGAGTTTAGAGTTTCGAATCTTTAAAGAGCAATTGAGTTTGATTCTTCATGTTTCAACGGACTTTGATAACTAAATGGAATTGTAGAGAAAAAAGAAGGAGATTTTAAGACAGTGGAGGAAGAGAACTGAGAAATAATGGGATAGTAAAGTGAAGTTAGCGTTTTTAGGTTGTATATATAAATAGTGTATGTTTGACATGTGACATAGCATAGCATTAAGCGAATTATATGACATAGCATAACATTGCTCAATGTTGTATGACCTTTGGTAGAATATTACATTATATTATTCTTACACTATGCTATATATATTTGGTGAATGAATTGCATTGCAATTTTTTTTTATTCCCAAACAAAAATTCATTTGTTAAAAATAATATATTTTTCAATTATTATTTAACTAATAAATTTAAAAAAAAAAAAAAAAGGTCAAAAGTTAAACAGATTAGTGGTCAGTGCCGATAAACAGAAGTCATAATAGTTGTCAAACACCGATTAAACACAATTCAATGCCGGTCAAACATTGGTCAATATCGATCAAACGATGGTGAATGCCATTAACCTACGTTGACCATAGTTTGATCAACTATTGCCTATTTAAATTTATAAATATTAAATTAATTGGCCATGTTTGTTTGTTCAAAATAAGCAAACGACATGTTCTCACATGAGGTTTGCCGAAATCCAAAGTTTATACCATTGATTGCATTTATTCCAGATTCTCACCTTTAATCTAAAACCGTTAATTATTGTTTGATTCTACCATAATGTTATTATCAAACTCTCTCCATCTTCTTCTTCTTCGTCTCTCCTTCCTTCTAACATAGGAACTCCATTTTACAACTTTTTTTTTTTTTTTACCCATTCTTTCTCTTCTTCTCCTCCTCCTCTTTTCCTTCTCTCTTCTAGATTCTTTCTCTTTTTCTTCTTCTCCTCTTTATTCTTCTCTTCTCTCCACCAGATTCTTCATCTTCTTCTTCTTTTTTCCTTCTCCGTTTCTTCTTCTCTT